TGACCAGGTCCTGTACTTGCTCACAGTCAAGTGCCAGGGGAATCTCACTAGAGCTCCACGGATTTCAGTGAGGGACACGCACAGATGTTCTCCTTGGTACAGGCATTTTGGAGAGAGATGCATCGTTAGCTGTTCATAATACAGCTTGAGGCTCCAGTGTCCAACTCTCAGGAGAACCAGCCCTACAGAACATTTGGCAAAGTATTTAAAATTCCAGAGAGTCTAAATCTTAAAAAAAAAAAAAATTGTTTTGTAGGCTGGAAACCAAAATGAGCTATTATACAATAATTACAATAAAATATACCTGATTATTTTATCTGTAATACATAAACACCTAGTTTTCATGAATATTAGTGGAAGAAAGAACTAGTAATTAGCCAAGGAAACATAAAATTAAGAGGTAAAAAGTTCTTTAAAAAAATAACTTATATTGGTCTGGTTTAAACTTAATGTTAGTGAAGAAAGTAATTTCTTGCAGTTACAGTCTAAGTAAAAGTGAACTCAAATGAACTAATTTGTTTAGACAGTCTATCTTCTTCATCATTGTGGTGTAATTTATCACTAGTTGCCTCTGGCTTACTTTAGGGGTTAGCTGACTGGGGCTTATTTCCTTTATACATTGTCTCAAAAATAGAGATTTCCTAAAACAGTATTAGAAAGCTCTTACTTGAGATGGTTGCAGAGATTAACCTTAATTTTGGCCAGAGTCTAATCTTGACTGGATTTGGCTCAGTGATAGGACAGCAGCTGTGTTTATAAAAGAGATCAAAGATCTGTTTAACCACCCTTAGAAGTAAGGACACCAGCAGCACCCACTGCCTTTTATTACGGAGGAAGGAAACAGGTACTCAGTATAGCACTAAAAATGCAGTTGGTAGAAATGCTTATTTCATGTCTTCATATCTATTGGGTTACCCAAATTGCTTGCAAAGGCTGAGAAACCTGGTGGCCTCCCCTTTAATTTACCATTGTGCAAATGAATTTTATCATTTGTGTAAGTGTTATAAGCCCCTAGGTATTCTTTAAAAATTAGTTGAGAAGGCAAATAGCTATATAACAAAGACATAAGTTAAACAGAAATAAGCTGATCCAGGGAAATTTCCAGGCAAATGTAACTTGATTCTACCTAAGGGCCACAATTGTTTTCACTAAGTTAGTTCAAAGAATAGTGGCAAAGGGCAGAATACAGATTCAATGCATTTGTGTTGCCCTCATATGAAGTCTGTGTCCATGCATGCAAAAGAAAGGGGATGAGCCTGAGTAATGGATGTCATGCTCTGTGTATTCATTTTTCCTTTTGTGAAATGAGATCCTCAAAGCCGATATCCTGATTATTTTGTTGTGTTATGGTGAACAGTTAACAAATGGTTGCTATCCATTAAAGTCACGTTAATAATAACAGAAAAGGAGCTGTTTTAAAGGGCATATTCCTTTAAATGTATAATTAGAAACGCATGTTAGCTGTTTTGAAAACCTTTCCCAATGCCGGCTAAAATAAATGTTTTTGAATCAGCAAGGTGTTAGATTAAAGAAACAGAGTGTTCTGTCTGTCTCGGTCGCGGAGACACCGACAGCTTGATAACGGTGTGCTGGCGCAGGCCGCCGCCCAGGACCTGACCAGCCTCCAGGGCAGTGTGTGGATGGGCCATCCGCGCGGCCAATTTCACTGTGTCAGTTTTATTTGTGTTCAGAACTAAGGTTATTATTGGTATGGCATGGAGTTGGGTTAAACTGAGTGTAACTTTCTGAGCTACAGAAAGACATGGGAGTGATCTGGAGCACATACTTTTTCTCTCCTCAGAAATTAGTCTTGGGCACAGGACTGTCTCATAACTTCCCAATCAGCATTTCTGGGATAATGTCAGATTTTGGACAATTACAAAAGAACCAGACACAAATGTGCAAATCAGATTTCAATTTCGTCTCCACTGACATGAGATTTAAAACAGCAACAGGAACATTTCTAAGTCAGTGTCAATATGTAGTCGCAAATTACCGAAGAGACAAATTGGAGTGCTTGGGTGTACGAGTGTGTTCTGGCATGGGAGAGACACAGAAATACTCACGACGCACAAGCCAAATCATAAAAATAAAATGGACTTGTGATCCCATCATTTTGAAAGACTAGGATTTACTTTTGACATCTTGCAGATTTGTGACTTTTGCTTCAACAGTCCTAAATAATACACGTTTTAGAGCATAAGTACAACTTTTTTTTCCTTTTCAAGTTTGTAAGTGAAGCAATCCTGAGAAAAACTTAGTTTCAACAAAAGAAAAATTCTCTCAGACAGATTTATAAACATGGGAAAACTAAAACTAAGTGTGACTGGTGTGCGCGCGCACACACACACACACACACAGATCTCACGATATTTATCAGGAATTAGATGGATGACCAATAACTAAGTCCCAATAAAACCTTTCTTCCTGCCTTAGTCTAATTTAAACATAGTTTACTAAGAACAAACTTACTAAGTAAAAAGAATATCATCCTACCATTTATTTATTTATTTAAATCCTCACCGGAGGATATTTTCCCATTTTCCTTCAGATAGAATGGGAGGGAGGGAGAGAGGAAGAGAGAGAGAGAAACATTAATGTGACAAAGACACATCGACTGCCTGCCTCCCACACGACCTCAACAGGGCCAGGGACAAACCACAACCGAGACACGTGCCCTTGACCAGAATCAAATCTGCGACTCATTGGTCACGGGCCGATGCTCTAACCACGAAGTCACACCAGCCAGAGTGACATTACACCATTTAAAGAACTGTACACACTAATGTCTAACAACAAAGTAGAAACTGGAAGAGGGAGGCTACAGTCCCAGTGCTTACGACGTAAAGGGTATACCACTTCTGAAACTAAGAGGTAAAGACACCCCTCTCGTTTCTTGAGAATGTCTTATCTCAAGAGTCATAATATTAATTTACAAATGGAACACTGCCTGCCTCTCTGTGGTATAACTGTACTTACACGACCACCATGAGTTATCTTTCCCCTAACAGAGAGCAGTCCTATGGAAATTTCATCAGACAGCCTTTACATGGGGGTAAGCCCTTATTCCGGAGAGCCCATATCCTAAATACCAAGCCCAACATACTCATCTCCCCCATCTCTATCCCTAAACATGATCCACTCAATTCCGAAGTAAGCTTCTCCCAGTATAAGACAGTTTTCAAATACACTGGCCCATTTTGTCATTTCAGGATGTATCCCTTATTTTCGGAAAATATCCTGAAATGACAAAACCTTACAAATTCTTGGCCTATTCTGATGCTTTTCTGGTGCTCTGTCCCAGCACAGAGATTGTTAATGAGAACCATGTCAAAATTCACTGCTCTTTGCCTTTTTAAGTTCCAAATCTGCTTATTTCTATTATTTTGTAGTAATATCTTACTGTATTAAATAATTGACATGACAATTCCTGTGCTATGTAATTTTTCATCTGTACTTTAAAGCATATGACAGTTCATACCAAATATCTATATTACAAAATTTTATTAAAAATTTTAAAATATTGCCCTGGCCAGTTTGGCTCAGCAGTTGAGCATTGGCCTGCGGACCAGAGTCCCAGGGTTCAGTTCCCGCTAGGGGCACATAACACACACACACACACACAAAATAAAATAAAATAAAATAATAAAAAATAAAAATTTTTTTTTTTAAATACCTGCAACATTTCCCTATTTCTTAAAGATAATTACCTTGATTCCACAAGATACTTATTGTAAGACATCCTATGAATAGAAAACTTGAATAAAAATATTTATTTGCATTATTGTTGTTTTGTTAAATCATTATTGTTTTATTTTTTGTTAATCATCACCTGAGGATAGTTTTCCATTGCTATTTTTTAGATAAAGTGGAAGGGAGGGAAGAAGGGAAGGAGGGAGGGAAGGAGGGAGAGAGAAAGAGAAACATCAATATGAGAGACATCGATTGGTTGCCTCCCACATGACATTGACCAGGGCCAAGGATCGAACCTGTAGCCCAGGTACGTGCCCTTGACCAGAATCGAACCTGATACCCTTTGGTGTACAGGCTGATGCTCTAACCACTGAACAACTGGCCCGGGCTTTATTTGCATTATTAATTAAAATAAACTTCCAATTCCTCAAAAATGAGAACTATGCATCTCTGAAATAAATTAATACCTGACCGGTGTGGTAGACGCCTCTTAGGTATTTTCACTCACCTTTCCTCAGTCCTCGCAGTAACTCCATGAGAACCGATTCCTGGGATGAAATGCAGCCTCAGAGATGGCACTTTTTTTTAACTCACAGGTGTGCAGTTTACAGGCATTTACTTAATTTTATACCTGGCTGACAGGCAGGTCCCCAAGCTTACACTCTTCTGGTCACATCATGATCTGTCACAAAAACACAGTGGCTGCCTGACTTAATACTGATCTGAAGGAGCTTTCAGAGGGTGACCAGAGTTCTTCTGTCACTAGATGTCAAATCAAAAACCTTTAAATTTTTTGATAAGAATGGTGAAAATTCACGAAAGGCAAAAGCTGTTAAAATGTATTAAATGATAAGTCAGTTTTCAAGTTAAGCTTTACCCTATGTATCAGATATTCTGAGAACGTGGAGATGTATAGCCAAAAGGAATCTGCATATAGTATACAGGGTTGAGTAACATGATCGGTCTCATTTTTAAGAAATTAATAATCTTTTTTATATATATTTTTTTTTTTTAATCCTCATCCGAGGACATTTTTCCATCTTTTTGTACAGACAGAGTGGGAGGGAGAGAGAGGAAGAGAGAGAGAGGGAAACATCGATGCGAAAGGGACACATCGAGTGGCTGCCACCCGCACGACCAACCAGGGCCGGGGACAAACTGCAACCGAGGTACATGCCCTTAGCGGGAACCGAACCCGGGCCTCTCCGGACCGCAGGCGGACGCTCTAACCGCTGAGCCAAACTGGCCAGGGCTAATCTTTTTTATATTAAATTGAATAATCTTTAATAATTCCTGAAAAAGTCCTAGGATCCCTACATATAACAGATTGCTAAACACACACACACACACACACACACACACACTCAGCAACTGCCAGAATAACATTGAAAGGAGTGGTCCTCCTTTTTTTCTTTTGTAAATATTTGTCCCTGAGAATCAGGAAAACAGCACATGTTTAAAGCATAGAGGATAGCATGTACTTTGAATAATCCTGTATTAAAACCAAAAGCATTCTGTTTCCCTACTCATCTCTTTTCTGGAACTGCTGAGTCAAACATATTCTTAAGAGATGATTAAGTCACATACACACTGAACAGAGTAGAAAAATAACTTTTTAAACCATCAACATTTTATTTAACAATAAGAACTGGGCTATTTCTAAAGCTTACAGTATATTTAATATAAAAATAAGGAATTTCCCAAAACATGTACTAAAAGCACAAAGCTGATGGATCCAAGCTGGGCGAGCGCTGATGTCACATCTCAGTCACCCAGAACAGCAGCTTATGGTCTCCTCCCACAGCACACAGTGGGAGAGTTCTGTGCCAGGAAAGGCCAGACCCAACAGCTACCGATCCAATGAGGATGGGCTATAAAATAAATGAAGAATTAAAGAAGCTTAACAAATCATCAACGTTAATAAAAATTACCCTTCAAAAATGCATTAATATATGGTCTTTATTTATAGCAGAATTAAAAATACGCTTCCTCACAGGTAAAATGTTCATTATTTGTTTGCAGCTGGCTGGAATGAAGGACATGAATAATCTATGAATATCTGGTGCAGCCCAGATTCAAATATATTTGTAGCCTGAGTGAACTAAGCAGGCAAAATTATTATATGTAAACGAAGGAGGAAAGATAACAAGAAATAAAATGCTTCTTATATGAATACAGACAAAACGTCTATTACCACTGGTGATTTAAACATCAAAAAACGCATTCTCTTTCCAATTTAAGCAGATGACATTCATAAATATCTTTAGTTACACATTACAAACTTGAAAGCTATAAGTGGAAAAGTAAAACACATTTCAAAACACATGCCACAAAACACCCCCACATTACCTGAGGGTGTCCTAGGTGATGGATTTGAAACTGGCTTGCCATTTTGCCAGGATATCCAGTGGTTGCAAACAAGTTTTCATTAATTGTGGACCACCTAAGAAAAGAAAGGGTAAAAGCAATTACAGTATCTTACAGATAACTGTAAGCTTTTCTGAAACAAGTTTTTTTTTTTTAAATATAAAACAATGCTTTTATAACCCTAAATGTATTAATATGGCTTTAAAATTAGACTGGAAATTCCAGGGAAGTTAACTATATTTTCTTATTCTGTAACTACTTAATAAGAGCTTATTGTGTGCCACTTTATTAAGTTCCAAAGTTATACAAGGTTAGCAGTTTCATTTTTGGAACCACAGGGCTGACAGTGTGGTAAGAGATACACACAAGGCATCAGACAGACAGAAACTATTTCACAGTAAAATGCACTAAAAAACACACATTCAGCCCTGGCCGGTTTTTCTCAGCGGTTAGAGCGTTGGCCTGCGGTCCGGAGAGATCCGGGTTCGGTTCCTGCTAAGGGCACGTACCTTGGTTGCAGTTTGTCACCGGTCCTGGTTGGGTCGTGTGGGTGGCAACCACTTGATGTGTCCCTTTCACGTTGATGTTTCTCTCTCTCTCTCCCTCCCACTCTATCTGAACAAAATATCGAAAATTGTCCTCGGGTGAGGATACAAAAAAAGAACAGAAAAAAAACCCCCACACATTCAATGTTCTTATTGACATTTGTTATAGAATAGTAATACAAGTTTACATTCCTTGGGATGATACAAACACCTAGAATATTGAGGTATTTACATATTTAAGTTTCAAGGCATCCTAGATATTGGAATACATTGAATCAGCAAGTGTCCCTGGAACCCCAGCAGCATGCCCAGCAGCACTGGTAAGTAGACGTAAGTAGAGGAGATGTGATAAAAAAGAAAGAATTCCTTGACCCCTTCAAAAAAACAAAATAACCCCCCCAAAAAACAAACGTGTGGCAGACATTATGAGTTGCTTGTCCAACAGCCATTCTAGCCTCTTCCCATGCTAACTGAACCCCAACTATGTTTGGGCAGAGTGTGTCCAACCTCAAGGGAGGAGACACAACTGGTTTAAGGCAATGATAACCATTCCCAGTGAAGAGGAGTGCTCTTCCTCTCCCCTTACTTTGAGCAATGTGGGGTGAGGCTACGATGCCTGGAACACTGGCAGTGGTCTTGTGACTGAGAAGCAACAAGTCCAAAGTCTTGCCTCTGAGGGTAGCAGAGGGAAAGGTCTGAATTCTTGATGACACTGATGAGCTACTAAACCAATCCCGACACTGCCTCCTCCAGACTTCTTGCTAAGTACCATAGTGCATTGATTGTAAAATGTATATTTGCTCACATCTCTGAAAGAAGGATGCTTTTACAATCTATGGCATTCTTACATATAGTGGAATATAATCTTAGATTTGATATTGTATAGCATAAAATAAATATTCTACTGGTTTTAGTTTCTGTCAGAAAGTTTTCCTGTTACTTGAAATGGAAAGCACCCTAAAGACTACGCTATACAATGGAATATTATGCAAAAATGAATGAAAACTGAGGTAGAAGTGTACGTCTATTTAAGAAGAAAAAGAAAAAGCAGGTTGAAGATAGATAATATCTAGCATGTTTTCCTTTAGCACAAAAATGACTGTTATATGCACAAATATGGGTCCATTTATGTTTTATATCTCAATTAGTACAAGAACTAAGGAAGCATACGCTCCAGATCGTGGGGGTGATATTCATACAGTGGCAACATGTACAGAATAAAAAAAATTGAAAAACAAATCACTCCCTTGCCTAAACCAAAAGACAAAAGCAAAAACTTAGTTAGGAAAACAAAATAGCCATTTATAAAACTATCAGAGAAGAGACAACCCGCAAACCCCCAAACAAACAAACCCACAGCAAAGAAGAGACTTGGGAATGTATTCCAGGTGGTGGGAGCACATGGACAAAGTTACCAGACTCAAAAAATAAAATTATAACTCCAACAAAAATGGTACACTACCTAAATATGCAGGCTCGATCCATGTGGACAGGTCTCTTAACTTGAGGGTAACTATAAGACAATATTTTGGATTTTATGAATTATGTGCTGGTCTCAAGTAGCAGAACTTAAATTAAGGTTTAAAAGGTATTTTCATTTTAAAAAACACAATGGCCAACATATTAAAATAAATGAAGAAATAAACAAACAAATCCCACAATGGTCAATATACTTAAACAATGACAAAATTCCAAATAAGCACTGGATTAAAATAGATGAAATATGATGAAGACACAAGCACGATGCAGAAACATTACAAAACATGATCATTTAATAGGGTCGGTGTATTTCTTTTTCTGTTTCTTAGTAAATATTGCTCAAAGACTTCTTCCTCTGCATTGCTCTTTCTGGGTTATGCTCTTAGCAAATCTGCAAAACACAGATATCCACCTCTATTATCTAAAAACCCATAGCTCTGGCCCTTCTATATAGGAGAGACAGTTTTTGTTCTAAATGAAGGCCGAGGTATATAGAAATGGCCCAACGGATCATTTAACAATAGTGACTGATTTTTTGATAAGCAATAAATGTACTAAGACAGTACCTGGATCGAGTAATATCCCAAATTAACCAATCATTCCCTGCAACAGCTCCAACTTTGAAGGTGTTTTTAAAACACCAGTGTGCTGACATTAATGGCATCTGTTCTGATTCAAGAGATAAAATAGCCTGTTGGGACATAAGATCATAAAATCGGATTGTTCCATTCTTCTCTGCAACCATCAGCTGTAAGACAAAAAGAAAAACAATTTAACCACTTCACCAAATTTAAGAAGTAGGCAGAAATTCAATTTATACAGTAAAATTTAAATATTTGCATATATTACAAATGGAAGATCAAATGCAAAGGAAGTAAGAAAGACTATGTAAAACTCTTTATCAAATATATATTTAAAAACCTTACAGAAAATTGGCAAAAGAAAGACTCAAGAAAATGTGGTACAATTTTAAATTATGTATGTTGACCAGACATACATCAACCTAAGAATTCATTCTGGGCAGTTACCCTTAAGTCATGTTATTTAGAAAGGATACATAAGTGTGTATCTAGCAAAACAGAGATATTTACGTGTTAGATATCCTTATGCAATGTAAGTGTATTTCCAGGATGGAAGGCAGCATGGCACAGTTAAAGAGCACAGATAGGCCTGGGGAACAAGACTATCTCCTCCACTGAAAAGCTGAACGACTTGGCCAAGTTACAAGGCTTTCATTGGCAGCTTCCTCATTACTAAAACAAATACATGAGGATAAGAACAGCTACAGCATTGTTGTGATGATTCAATGAGTAGTGTATGTACAGTAGTGTGTTGGTTCCCCTAACCCCCACTATAATTGATTCATTAACATAGAAGTCACAGCCAGCAGCACTATAACTTATACCTGAACAAAACTTATCTAACACATGTATTTTCTCCATAAGGCACATCATATCCTTCTTGCACTTAGCAACACTATACAGCACTCACTATAGTAAAGTTACCAACAAAAAGCACAACGATGGGACATGACACAGACTGGAACAGGACACTTGCTTCCCGTTTGAGAGCTAAAATGAGAAGGCAGAGCGACACCGTATTCGCCTTAGCTGGAAATGTGCACATTAGTTGAATCAAATTTTTGCTGCTCTGCGCATGCCTGGGACTATGAAAGTGCCATGAGTTACAACTTCAGTGAGCGGGAAAATTCACAAATATGGAATCCATGAATAACAAACATCAACTGTATACACAAATGCATATGCAAAATAGCTAATTTTACAGAAGATGGAAGTAACAGACACAATCCTGATCTCAAAAAAAGCCTTCCATCTAGAGAAGAGAATTATGAAGAAAACAAAAAACAAACAAAAACAAACTGACCATAATTAAAAGCAAAATACCCTGGGGTGCAAAAGAAGGAAAAATTACTCAGAATATGGCTAGTCTTTGGAATTACAGGATTAAAAAAAAAAAAAGGTAGAATTTAAAACTATTCAAGAATAGGCAAAATGTTTAATACTAATATTACTAAAAATAACATGAGCTCAGTGACAAATACACAGAAACAAGAGCAACACTGAGCTTTACATGCTCTGCCTTATTTAATCCCCAACCACTCTCATTAACCCTATTTTTCAGAAGAGGAGACTGAGGCTCAGAGTGATCAAAGTAACTTGTTGAGGTCTTGCTGCTAGCCTGTGGCAGAGAATGGCTTGAACGCAGGTCTTGACCCCAGGTCTGGCTCACTGCAGTGCACACGTGTTCCTTACTACAAGGCCAGATTTTTATGACTGGTGAGTGGTCTGCTCTGCTATACAGAGTCAAGAGTGGGGAAGGACTGGAAATGGGAGGAGACCAAGGAAGACTAGCCAGGACTAGTAAAAATATTTGAGGTTTTGAACCGGACTCAAAATCTATTTCAGGGATAACTTATGGACTATGGCAGGGCCAAGTCTACATGGGCCCAGGTCCTAAGCTCTGAAGGGCAATAAAGCACGGGGGGTTAAGTGTGCTGCCTCTTGAGCGAGACTGCCTGGAGGGCGCTGGGTGCCAGCACTACCCTCTGGAGCTATATGATCTTGAGCAAATGACCACTCTGTGCCTCAGTAAAAAAGGGGCTAATAACAGAACCAACTTCATACACTTTTGGGAGGATGGTATGTGTTAATACGTGCGCAACCCTTAGAATTGTTTTGGCACAAAGTAGGCACTCAAAAAACACGAGCTATTATAGGTTGAGGTCAGATTAAAAACAGCTCTAGCAAAAAAATTGTTATTTACTGTTTCTAAAACTGTGCTCAATTGTGACAATAGATTTTGTTGTTGTCAAAAGAGCAGAGATTAAAAAGTTGTTTGGTAACTGGTGGATCTAAAAATGTTACAGGGGACTTTTTCCTCTAGGAACTCTCAGACCCATAAACAGTAATATGCACTGAATTTTCATGGGGAACGTATCTTAAGTGGCACAGAGCCAGACTGAGGTAAAATCTGTGACTGTGTGACCTTGGGCAAATTACTTAAAAACCTTCTGCTGTTTCGCCCTGGCCGGTTTGGCTCAGTGGTTAGAGCGTCCGCCTGCGGTCCGGAGAGACCCGGGTTCGGTTCCCGCTAAGGGCACGTACCTCGGTTGCAGTTTGTCCCCGGCCCTGGTCGGTCGTGCGGGTGGCAGCCACTCGATGTGTCTCTTTCACGTCGATGTTTCCCTCTCTCTCTCTCTCTCTTCCTCTCTCTCCCTCCCACTCTGTCTGTACAAAAAATGGAAAAATGTCCTCGGATGAGGATAAAAACAAACAAACAAAACCTTCTGGTGTTTCAGTTTTCTTATCTACACAATGGATAGAGTATTACCAGCGTCAGAGTGTTTTGTGAGAATTTCACGAGAGAACATGCGTGAAGTATGAGGCACAGTTCCTGGCACTGAGAAAGCATTCAACAATTGGTGAGCGTTCATTACACCTCATTTCAGTTAGTGGCTCTCTAACGTTTTTTCTCTTAAGGTCAGAGAAGAAAATGTCCTCAGTACTAATTCTCTAATCCCACGACATCCTAAACTCCTGGTTGTTTTCATTACCACCTGAAATCCTTGCTCCAATGCTGGTTTATTGGAATTAAAAGCTTAGTTCCTGGAGATCTTTTACTATTATGCTCGCATTTGCTTTGCGCTTTCCAGATTATATGACTCTTTTATAATTCATATGATTTTCATAAAGAAGTCTGTGAGATAAGCAATCATGCACCCACTTTTCTCTTTTTTCTCTGACTGCCTCGTTTTTTCATCAAGATCAAGCACAAAGAACAACAATTCTGGGCTGGATCTGATAGGGCAGACCACTGAGAACCACTAGATTGCATTAGGAGTAATGATTTCATCAACAAAGACAAGCAGCTAAAGTTGATTGAGTGCTTATTATGTGACGGGTTCTCTTTTAAGGATTTTAGGTGTTCACTCATTTAATCTTCGTGAGCTTCCCATTTGACGAGATGAGAGTGAAAGCAATGACCGGGAGCTTTGGAAACTTGCCAGAGATCACACAGCTAGTAAGTTAAGTGCTGAACTAGGATTTGACTCCGGGCAGTTAACCCAAGAGTCCATACTCTTAATCACGTCTGTGTCATCTTTCTGTATTTTAGGTTTTTGAGTTTGGTAGTGACGTGACGAAACTGGTATTGTAAGACTAGTCTAACTAAAGTAGGCAAGAAGAATCAAACAGCGGAGAGCCAAAGACTTCAGAAACCAGCTAAGGCTTAGTCAGAGCTACTTGTGAGAACAGAAAGGTGAAGTACGCACTTCAGTGACAGAGAGGAATGTATTCTAGTGACAGTGAAGGGAGAATCAAAAGACCTAAAAAAGTTTGCATTACAGGAAAGAAAGATTTCAAAGGTAATTTTAGAATTTTGAGTTTACACAACTTAGAGGAGCTTACAAACATTCTGAAGTCATGGAGATAATAAAAAATAGAGATGGGGTGAGGTGGAATTTTAATGATATGTAGAAGAAAAACAGAAATTAACTTAAAGCATATAGAAAAAAAGCATCTGAAATAACCACAAATTATGCATTAAAATAGGTTTTGGGCCCTGGCTGGTGTTGCCCAGTGGTTAGAGTGTTGGCCTGAGCACCAAAGGGTCTCAGGTTCGATTCCCACCCCAGTTGGGGCATGTACAGGAGGCAACCAATCGATTTGTTTCTCTTATATCAATGTTTCTCTCTGTCTCTCTCTACTCCATTCCATCCCTTCCACTCTCTTAAAAAAAAATCAATGGAAAAAATATCCTCAGGTGAGGATGAACAACAAAAAAGTCTTTTGAAACAGAAGTTGTAAAAAATTCTCATTTTTCTTCTAGGTCAGTTTTTAATAAGTAGCCTTTTATTTATACATGTTAATATGAACATTTTGGTCAAATCACTTATGTTTCAAGGAGACTCACTCCTGGAAGGGAGAAATCTAGGTATAAAATTTAGAATCTGGATTCAGAAATCATACATGGAAATAACCCTTACATATGTAAAATGAATTAGAAAATTTCACTCATGTACATAGAGTACATAATTCTACTGTTGAAAGATCACGTGAGCCGGGTTTCAAGAAAGAAGTAACAGTGTAAAAAACAGCCTTGAGATTAAGAATGGAAAAGCCCATTGGATTTGTTAAAAGTATCACTGAACAGTATTGGAGACTATATGAGATTACAGAGCAAGACCAAGAAATGGGGAAAGAGGAACTGAAGTTAAGGGTTCAAACTTTTAGTAATAAAAGGTGTGAAGAAAACAGACTGAAATTAAATGAGGAGATGGAAGACTGTAATGGTTAAAAGCAAGAACTATGGAGAAGGCTGCTTGGGTTCAAATGCCAATTCTTCCAATTAGTAGCTGTGTGACATTGGGTAAGTTACTTAACTTCTCTAAGCTTTGGCTTCCTGATCTGTAATGAGACTCACCACAGTACCTATCTCATAAGGTTATCGTGAGGATTCAATGAGCTGCTACCATACATGAAATGCTCAATATGGGCCAACCATATGTAAGTATTATGTATTTGCTATAATTAATCAAGCTTATCTTTTTGTGCAAGTATGAGGAAAGAAAACAGTTAATAGAGAAGAAATATGAATACATCATACAGCTATGAACACAGGATACTTAAGGAACTGGCATTAGCTCTAAACAACTAAAGGATTAACTTTAAGAAGATAAACATGGTAACTTCGTAGAATCTAAGGAACAATAAAATAGAGTGATGCCCAGAGAAGATACTGGCAAATGAGAGAACTCTTGTTGAATGACTCCCATCTTCTCAATGGAGTAGGAGTTAAGGCCAAGTGATGTATTTAGAATTTTAGAAAGCTCTACTTTGAATGGGAATTGACTATCAAGCAGTTAGGTCAGATTTGCCTTACACCACTGATGCTTTCTGTTCAGACAAGATGGATCACAAGCATGGACTTAACTTTTTTTTTTTTAAACAAATACTGCTACTAGCTAGTCTGGGCATCAGTTTTTAGACTGTAATTTACCAAAGAGCAGGAAAAGCGTACTCTGAATAAATGCCATTTGTAGATAAATTGTTGTAAAATAAAAAAAAAACAACCTTAATTACACATAACTTTTAGGATACAGTTCTACAGTAAATGCATTTGTGACAATTGGAGTGTCTGAGGTGGAAAAAAGTCATTGATTTTTCCCCTCTGCATATGCATGTATTACACATGTATATATCTTTTCAGCTTCATAAAAGAAAGCTGAGTTATAAATAACAACCTTAAAAGTTTCCTCAGGATGCCAACACACACTCATTCCAGGGGAATTAAGAGCAAAATGAGATGTCTGCATTCCCTCCAAGTTCCAAATCCTAAGAAAAGAAAGAGAGTATAATTTTAAATATTTGAATACATCACTACTAAAAAAAAAAAAAAAAAAAATTTCCATGAATTTATTCAAAGCTATTAACTACAAATTATATGGTAGACATTTGTACTTAAAGTATATCTTTTAAAGAAAATTACAACAAAATTATTTTAGAAATTTGTGTGAGTAGTATGAAGAATTTACCATAGAGTCATGGAAAAACAGCCACACATTTTCTCTTTCATTAATTTAACATGGCAAAGCCTGTTGCCAAATTATTCGTATACTCCTAATTTTGTGGGCAGAATTATAAATTAATCCCGTTGCATCCCGTTGTGGGGGTGATTGGTAACCACCACAGTAAAGGTGAAATGAAGGAAAAAACACCTGGTTTTATCACTGATATAAGCAGTCATTTCAATTAATAATTTCCACAAAGGTACCTCACTCACTGCGCATCCCCTCCCTCCCCCGCCACCCAGTGGTTTCCATTTTCAAAATAACATATAAAGAAGCTAGTATGAGGTCATGTGAATTTAGGGAGATAAGTAATTTTCAATGGTTGCTTATTCCTCCTGCCTTTGGATTTCCATGCCAGGGACTAATTCCCATCTTATGTTTTTTGGACCTGGCTTCCTTTCTCAATTCTCATTCTCCAAGGTGGCCTTGATTGATAACTACCACAGCAAAGGTGAATTGAAGGGAAAAACACTGGTTCCTCCCACTCTCTCTTCAATACTTCTTAATGCATAGTAACAAGGATCAAGCTAATCACTGACATGACTTTCTATCTCAATTTCCTTCCTATCCCAAGAAAAAACATTGGTTTATGTAATTGGATTCCACTTTATTTATTTTTTGTTAATCCTCACCCGAGGATATTTTTTCCATTGATTTTTTTTTTTTTTGGAAAGAGAGTAGAAGGGAGGGAGGGAGAGAGAAACATTGATGTGGGAGAGACACATCCATTGGTTGCCTCCTGCATGCACCCTGACCGGGCTGGAGATCGAACCTGCAACCCAAGTATGTGCCCTCCAAACCTGCAACCCTTTGGTACACAGGCCAATGTTCTAACCACCACTGAGCAATACTGGCCAGGGCTCGAGCTCATTCTTCACACTTAGCCACTATTATATCTCACTAGTACAGAGCGTGGTGGAGTTAGCATGGCAGAAGACAGAAGTTAATGGCTGGCAAAGTGCCCACAGAATTCTGGTCCTTAAGAATTGAACTCATTCATTAGAATGCCTTGGACTTTTTCTTTCAGATTTTATAGTTCATACCTCACTAGAAACCATAAAAAAATTTCAATAAATGTAAAGAATATATCTGTAAAGTCTCGGCAAAAATTTATTTCAATGACAGAAGACATATTTATTGAACAATACTATTATTCTGTATCAAACCACCTTATTCCAAATATTTTTTCTTCCTCGAAGAAATTACAGGGTCTCCAACCTTGAAATACTATAGTAACATAAACTAACACAAACGTTTTTCAAAATAATTATTTACTTAATTAGATAATTTAGAAGCATACTCTTTTGTTTGGCCAAATCAACACTTTTCATCTATATATACCACATAAGGGAGAGAACTGAAGAGGTGAATCACATTTACCAAGGGTTTATGTAATTGTGTTCCACTCCCCACAATGAAGAAGATAATTAATTATGGCAAATGAATATTTCTTTCTTCTCCATTGCCTTTTGCATAATAAAATACTGAGCTGGCATGTATTTTGTCATGATTGAGATAATAGGAATTTATCTTGCAAATTCAGCAAGTCCCATGAGGAAAGGTTTAAAGGCTCCATTTTTTTGATCTTATTCTAATATATATTTGATTTTTGTTTGTAATGATATAAATTGAATAAATACGTATCAGAATATTTTCATTTTTTCCCTTTCAAATGAGGAAATCAAAGAGGTAGAAAATATGGACAAAGATATTCTATAAAAACAGGTCAATTAATAAAGTGTATTCTTGTCCAATGAACCAATTTTTTTCACAGTATTTTGTCTTGAACAGAACCTGACACTTTTTAACTAAAAACGGATTTAAATTGAGGATGGTGATCCAGATTACTTTACAGGACTAGGATAAAATGATTTATGGTTGATAATTATATGCTTATTAAATAATTCTCTGTGGTTGCATACTCCAAGTACCAAGTATGCACAATACAACAAATCAAGATGAAATGAGTTATCATAACTAAATTAGCTACAGATGGTGCACTTTAGGTTGTTAAGTCTTATTTCCCTTTTTGATAGATTCTATAATTAAGCTCTACTCAAATCCCTTTCTGGAGCTCATTTTTCTATGTCTTTAATACATGGCATATCTAGTTAATAACAATTCTATCCAATAAAGTCACTTTTATTTTGTTTAAAATATTTTTTACAGTATAGCATACATAATAAAAACACACAAATCATAAGCATAAAGCTAAAAGAGAACATGCTCAAAGAAAACAGTACCCAATTTAAGAAACAAAGTATTTCCAGAACTCCAAAAGTTGTCTTGTGTTTCCTTCCAGTCATATCTCCCTGCCCTCTCACTAAAGGTACCTGCTATCCTGACTTCTAACGCTAGAGCTTACTTTGGCCTCTTGGTCTGGTATCTTTCACTCAACAGAAGATTTTGGGAGATTTAACCAACATTGCTGCATGTTAAACTTTATTCATTCTCATCGCTGTATGTAGTATTCCATTAATTAATCTGCAATGTATTCACCCATTCTACTGTTGATAAACATTCGTTTCCAATTTTTGGTCATCACCAATAATGTCAATATAAACCTTCTTGTATGTCTTTTAGTGACTACAGATACCCACACACCCCCTCATCCTCTTGCACACACCACACGCACACACACACACACACAAACCTACCTGCTGGGTACACACTTAGGCATGGAATTGCTGCATAATAGCTTACAAATACATTCAAATTTAGCAGGTATTGTCAAATAGGTTTCCAAATTTGCTATATCTCATTTCCCTCTCTTAATTTTTAAAAATTACCAACTGAAGAAGCCTAAACTTTCTCTAACACATCTTCTGCCAAAAACAATCTTAAGCATTTATCTAAATGGCAAAAGATTCAGCTTTTTAGTTGGTCTTATTTGTAAGGTCGATTTCTCAAATCACTCCCTTTTCTCGCAATTTTGTTATTTTCATGTATCTATGCATGGATAAATTTGCATCAGTTTTGAAATGTAGTGAACACAATTTACACAGTAGAAGCTCTCTTAATTGACCTCCTTCTGACACTCTTCCTTTGTCCCTGTGTAGAACTGATGAGAAAAAGGCCATTTTCTAATATTCTTACACGTGCATTTTGTAGGCTTATCAAGAGGGAATATGGGTTCACTGTTAGCGAACCACTATTTGTAAGTGATGTAAACCCATACTTATGAATGTAATTATATAATACTATATAAAGCTGACAGAATGTGAACGCGAAAGAGCTGTTTCAATGAAGCTAAGTTGATGTCAACTAACTAAAGGTAAATGTTTAAATTAAAAAAGAACATTCTTAAATTAGGCATTGTGACAGTTACAAAAGATTAAGCACTAAATATTACACAAATATAGATATATTTGAATTGACTGCATTGTAAGTGTTTTCACTATAGGCACTGTATTATGGGCGTGGTTGGAGCAAAAAAGAGGTCCCAACACTAATCAATAGACTCATAGCTTAAGGAAAGAGAAAGCCTTGGCCTCATGTCAAAAGGCTGGCAAATAGCAAGTTGACAAATTTTCATATTTATGTTGTATATGAAAATAAGGTAGGTAGAAATTACTTTAAAATGATTTCCTGATTTTTTTGCTTATCTAAGGAACTGTAAGTTTAGACCATGTTTCTAGTGTAATGGAAAAAAACAAAACAAAACCCAGAAATTTGGAAATTAATATTTTAATATTTCCAACTATACTGTTAATACATTTGGTTATAATAAATAAAATCACTTAAAAGTTAATCATAACCACAAAAACATAATTTTTAGAAAAGAAATACATCACAGAAAGAGAAAAGCTGTAAGGCTTCATAGCCTTCTTAGTACACATAATCAAACATAAGGAAAAGTAACAGACCACTTATAAAAGTATAAAAATATAACATTATCCAATTAAACAACTGTCATAAAAAATCAGAAGCTATATGAAGACATATGTATACCTACTTAAACATTTGCAAGGGAAATTTCAAAACAGAAGCTTTTAAGGTAAAATTAACCTGGTGAATATTAAGAAGCCAATAATAAATACTGAATCAAAGGGCATCACTCTTCAAGTAAAATAAAACGACAGTTTTGACCCAATTTAACTATGATCATAAAAAAAAATCTCTAACCCCTCACTATTCTGTAGTCCTAAGCAGAACTCTTAGATTTGGCTGGAAAATGTATGAATAAAGAACTCTCCAGATCTAAGATTGATTACAATTACAATTTACTTTTGTAGTTTAGTGTTAAAATTATTTGCCAGTTTACTGTTAAATCATTTCAGGCTGAGTGCTTTTCCGCAGAACATTAAGTATTCCTACATATATTATTTAAATGTAGTTGTTCCATTTAATTAATAGAAAGATTACATAAATTGGTTGTTGGCATACTGAGGATATCCTAGATATTCTCAAGAGCCTTTTAGATTCAAAATTTGTAGAGGGAGATGTTCCCTCTGAGAATTCAAAAGGAAACTTCCTGGGTAATACTCTGTTCTTTTTATTTGTTTGTTCTCTATTTGTAATTGGCAGCTCATTGTCTGTTAGGGAATTCACTGTATAAGGAAATTTCCACTACCAAATGTTTATGACAACACAGGCAAAGAAGGAATGGATGACATTAAATGGCACATCTGTATCCATTTGCTCCTCTGTAACTGGTAAAGCAAAAAGTACAAACCACAATCTAAAAGACATGGCTAGATCACATGAATCACTATATTAATTAAATATGAAAGAAAAAAGTAATACTGAGATGTAATTATAAGG